CTGTTTATCCCCATTTCACAGAGGAGGAAACTGAGGTATAGAGACATAAAGTCCATGGGAAGTCCAAGATAATGTGCTACTAAGTTGAAGAGCTTGTATTCAAACCAAGACAGTTTGACCACAGGGCCCAAAGCCAACTCTATGTTCCAACAGCCTCTGTATATATACCTCTGGGGTGGATGTTGTGAATGATGGAGTAGAGTGGACAGATCAACTTGATTTATTTAGCTTTTTATGGTCTTAAAGTATTTTAATTCACAAAAGTAATTCATGCTCATTGAAACACATATAGAAACTTATGAAGGAAAAATAGTGAAAATATCTCTAAGACCACTTCTCAGAGCTTATAAAATTTCTGTTTACATATAAAGACACCCAAATATAATTTTGCTTTCTTTACAGAAATGAAATCATAAAATGCATATTGATTTTCAGCATCCTTTTTTTTCTTAATATACCTTGGATATCTTTCCATATTATTACATAGGTCTACTTCAATCAATGCTAACATTTATTTTACAGTATGTTTATACCAAATTTCTAGAATAGATAGATAGATCATAGATTTTATATATATATATATATATATATATATATATATATATATATATGTAAATATATATGAGATATAGCTAAACATAGATGTTGCTGTTTCTATAGAATGGCATCTTAGAAGTAAGGTTCCTGGGTCATTGGGTATACATATTTCAAATGTTTATAGATGCTGCCAAATAACTATCCCAAATCTCTGCCAATTAACAGTCTCATCAGCAATATATGAAAGAGCATGCCCTCCCTCTTTAATGCTAAGGAAGAATAGGTCCAGAAGATCACAGTCTGGGAGACGGCTACAGTTCAAGTTTCATGAGGAACAACTGAAGAACATGGGACTTTTGAACCTGGAAAAAAGAAAACTCAAAGTGACATGATTGTGGCCTACAAGTCTCTGAAAGACAGAGGATATAAACCTAATGAGAATATTCTCAAAGGGCAGAAACTTAGAGAAGTAGATGTCCTTCTATTTGGCATAAGAGTACTTTCTAACAGATTTGTATTGAGATGAAACAATCTATATCTGAGGAAAGTGTGCTCCCTGTTGCTGGCAAAGTACAAGCAGGGATTGAAAGGCCATCTGACAAGTGGAATTGGTTTAGAGAAACTTGTCTATCCTGTTGTGTCCTGAAAGTCTATTAGAAACTACAATTTTTGAAGTGGGAGACAGGGAAGGAGATCCAGGAGTTTTAGTTCCCACTGAGACTCACAGTCCTTCTGGGTATTAAGCCTGGGGTCTCTTGTACTGCTGTATCCCTAGGTGGTGGCCGATTTCCTGAATGCCAACAGGCAGTTTTATACACTGCAGAAAACCTTCACTAACTTCTCTTAGATGTTTTCCTAATCCAGCATTACGGAATAATTTATAGGCCAAAGGACTCATCTTAAATGAGGCCAAAAAGTCATTGTCTATACAGAATGGTACAAGGCTGATTGACCCTGATTCACTAGAAGTCCAGCTCTGCCATTGGCTGGTTCAATGATTTTGGACAAATCCCATAAATATTATGGGTCTCACTTTTTTCATCTGTATAAAGAAGGGATTGGACTGCATATTCTCTGTTTCTTCTCAGCTCAGTGTTCTATGAAACTATATGTCTTTCAGTCATGTGCCCTTACTCTATGCTTCTGTAGCATGCTGTCCTGGCCTCCATCACTCCACTTACAGCTTTGTGTTGAAATTCTGTTTACTCTTTCTCCCTTTAGTACATGAACTTCTTGGCTTAACACATGGTCTGACACTGGGTAGACATTTAGTTCAATGTTTATTAAAATGAACTTGAATTCTTTGTGATACCATGTCTATAAGTCTTGGTCTCTGGACAAACTTGAAAATTGATATTACAGAGCCCAAGGGGATTCTCTTCTTGACCCCTATAACTTTCTTCATTAGCTCCTCAGAAATGAGTAAGTGGAGGCAGGGATCAGTAGTAAAAAGAGGCAGTATCCAGATAGAGGAATAACTCATTGCATCCTCTAACATGTTTACTACTTATTTTCCTAGCTTCTTTCAGCAGTTTAAGCTCAAAGTTCCTTTCTCCTTTCTAAAGTTCCTGTGGAATAGGCTGGAATCTAATTTCAGCCTTGAAGGAGGGCTCTCCTTCTTCATCCTTGCAAGCCAAATTCCTTCTCCTTCATCCTTGCAAGCCACATTCCTACCAAGGAATTCATGTCCTCTGTGTAGGTTGATCTTTTTGCACCCTTTTCCTTGCTAAAAGAAAGAGAAGATTCTTTCTCCATTATGCTCTTTGGCTCAGACTCTACTCAGCCCAGCATCAGGATTCCTGGTGGGAAGCATAGGCCAATGCTGCCCTTGCCTCATCCTCTTGAGATACCAGATGTAAAGCAAGTGGTAACAGCAACTTTGGGATCTGGCTAGCGATAAGGACCAGCTAGGGGATATTTCATTTATATTTAGACTTGTTCCAACCACAAAATTAACAGAAGAATAAATAAAGATGGAAGGAGAGATATTTCAGAGTATAATTTGGTGAAAGAAACATTTGAAGTCTGTTTACTTTCTAGTTTTGGAGACTGGCCCATCTTACCTAAATTGTAACCCGAAGAACCACATAGTCCTGAATACTGCACAGTGGGAGTAGGAAAAAAAAAAATATATATATATATAATGATAATCTTTAGGCTCTCCCTTTCTGCCACCACAAAGCTAGAGATCAGGAATTATTGGGAACCCTGGGTGGCGCAGCGGTTTGGCGCCTGCCTTTGGCCCAGGGCGCGATCCTGGAGACCCGGAATCGAATCCCACATCGGGCTCCCGGTGCATGGAGCCTGCTTCTCCCTCTGCCTGTGTCTCTGCCTCTCTCTCTCTCTGTGTGTGTCTCTCATGAGTAAATACATAAAAAAATCTTAAAAAAAAAGAGGAATTATTTTTTTTTTGAGATCAGGAATTAAAACAGACTAAGGCAATGCCAGAACTAGAAGGCTGAGATCAGTCAGCTATGGCCTTCCTTTGCCTGAATAATGACTATACCTGAGAGCAAGAAGAAGGATCTCCCAAAGTAGTCCTCTGCAGGTAGGACACTCCTCTCTATGCCCACATCTGTAGATTTTTAGACCATCAGTATGAGGTATCTCAGGATAATTTAGTCTGTTTGGGATTTTGTTGTTGTTATTTCTGGTGGTAGTAGTCAGTTGGTTTGTTTTGTTTTGTTTTGTTTTTAAGTGAAGTCATTCCTTCAGTAAAATCATACATTTAATTAAATGTCTATAAGAAAAAGCAGAGCTACTTTGGATGAATAGGGATATGGATCCAGAGGCCACTTTATCAGTCTCTTTTTGCTTCCTGAAGCGCCTTCTGAAATAGTTCCCCAGGTCTCCAAGAAAACATAGTGATCTAACCCAGTTTTCTCACGTTATAGATGAAAAAGCTAAGGCCACAAGTCACACTGAGATTTAGTTCATTTCCAGCTCTAGAACCCGAATTTCTTGATTACTAACCTAAGGGTCTTTTATGACTTCATGCTTCATCTTATAAACTTATCCTTAAATTCTTATGGCTTAGAATACTTTTTCCAAAAAGCAATAATGAAAATTGAGGTTACATTAATAATTGGTTGTGTAGAGAGCATTGCAGTGGTACATTTTGTATTCTATGACAATCAATAAGACAATCCCATATTTCAAAAGTTTGTGAATAAAATTAAAACACTATGTCAAGAGAAAACGTATTTGTCTGACTAAAACAGAAAGAATGGCTTAGTTTTAACAGCAACTTTGGGATCAGTTGTGTCAACATGTAAAGGGAGAATTGTTAATTGGGAAGAGAGGGGATCATTATGGACACATTATGCTGGTGTCTATTCCAGGAAGTTTAACCAACCACCAGAATCTGAAGGACCTTGAAAGTCAAGTTACTAGAAACAGGGTTTCTAAAAGGTAGAAATAATCTGAATAAACTATCCCTTAAATTTATCCCTGTCTTTTTTGTCTGGCTCCTTGCTTATTAAACAATCTTCTCATCTGTTTAATAATTTGGCTTTCTAGGAAGTGACAATGCTCCTTCTTTGCAGGCTCTTGTTTGTCTTAAGTCCTCTTTTCACTCTTCACTGTCATTGGGCAATTATCTCTATTGCCACAGTTTCTACTTCCTCCTGTAATCAATGAATCCCAAATCTCTAGCTCTAGTTTGGTCCCCTATCCTGAGCTTCAAATTATTTGTCCTTTCTACTACTATATGGCTGTAAGCCCCATATGACCTTCAAATGAAATCTGTTAGAAACAGTGGATTTGTTAGAGTTCAAACCAAGCACACAGCACAATCAATGCAGAATTATTCAAGCCAAAGGTTTTTTGTTTTGTTTTGCTTTTTCAAAAATATGCTATTTACAAAGGGGTATATGTAGAGGAACAATAAAGGATTAGGGCAGTATGCCAAATTGGTAGCCCTTGAGCTGTTATCACTCCTAGGGGAGGACTAAGGGAGGGAAGAGTTGCTAGAATCTGGAAGAAGATACAGTTCTGTAGACTTGGCCACCTTGAAAGGAGCAGTGTTTTTCAGTTGAGAGACTCATGCAGCCCAAGGCAAGTTCTCAGAGAGAAAATCAAGGGAATAATAATTCTACATCACTGATTTTCATTCAGTTTTCTGATGGTGCCTCCTGTTGGCTGAACCCATGAAGACATGGCAACCCAGAAATGAAACTCATAAAATTCACAAAGGTCAGCTTTCTGGGATTCGATTTTGAGGACCCAATAGAAGATATGTGACTATGTGGCATGTATGTGTTTTTGTGGATTTACATGTGCATTTTGCATGTATGTATGTATATGTATATGCATATATATATATATATAATCTCTGTAAAACTATCCTAGCTACCTATCCTTTTTTTTTTTTTACTATTTTGAATTTATTTCCTTTAATACCGCCTCCTTGCGATTTCCAGAGAGAAAATACAAAACAAGAAACAGATTTCGTTTTAAATACATAAACAGTGTGCTGGAGTTTAAAGCATTACTGATTACATTGTTACAGAAGAATGTCAACTTACTCCAGGGCACTTCAGTATTCCTGAGGAATAAACATGATTTCTCTTTTCTTCCCACTGGGATGTTCTCAGGTGTAAGTCACTGCTCCTGCTCTTTGTCATATTTTCCATGTAGAAGATATGGAGCCTGGAAATCATGCTGACAGTTGGAGTAGGCCATTCCCAAACCCATGCCAGAACCAAAGGCTAATGGCCACATTCTTCTTTTAAAGAAGGTAAGTGAGAAAACAAGTCCTAATCCAAAACCAGTACCTATCTTCACGACCGCATCCGCCATGCACTGGTCCCACTTCCTGCCGAGCTCTGAATCCGACATGTTCCCCACCCGCGGCTCCCGCTTCCCTAGCTACCTATCCTACACCAAAAAAACATCATACTGTGAAATTTGTGCTAAGCCTTGCTTAACCAAAATCAGGGCCCAAAGAGGAAGAATGTAGTTCTCCAAAAGGGGGTCCTATAAAACAGTATTTTTATACGATATTAATATGTATTAAAAGAAAAATGGAAAAAAAAAAACAAACAAAAAAAGAAAAATGGATTCCATGACTAGATAAGTTTGAAAGCTACTGGGTGAAACAAAGTTTAACAGTGTTCTGTACTTTAAGACTTTCAAGATTTTCCATGTAATATTCTAATAAGCTCCATAAATCTTTAAGAGAAGGGTGCATATTTAATATTTAAAATAATTTGGCTTCTTTTGCAGAAGATTTTATGGAACTAATGTTATAAGGAACATATTTTGAGAAATTCTGGCCTAATCTAATACCCCCATTTGACATATAAAAAATGAGGTACAGAGAAGAGAATGAGTTTTTCCAAAGGTCCCAAGATGGCTCAATGAAAGGATTAGTTACAACTCAAACCCAGAACTCAGGAATCTGTGTTTCACTGTTTGCAGCATATGGCATTCCCTAACCAGCTTAACTTAATAACAGTATATTATTAATTTATTTTCTATGATTTTACCTAAACCTTTTTGGATTTTATTTCAACTTCTTTATACTACCACTTTGGGTAACAACTACTTAAAATTACTATTTTCTGTGTAAAATATCACTTTTTTATTTGCCTTAAAATTATTTTTTTTCAATCTTTAGGGAAAAGCTCCAAATTCTCTTATTTATCATTTTGTGAACAAAGCTATTTTTCATCCTCTTCATGCTTTTCATGATAGTGGTCTTTGATTTCTTTATTGTCTCTCAGTCTCTCGTCCTTTAATACTGAAAGTACATGGAACTAAGAGTTAGGAGTAGTATTAAGGCTAAGCTCCACTAATGAGCTGCACAGTAATCTTGAGCAAGTCCTAGTTATGGTCCACAGTTCCTTCATATGTAAAATTAAAGGAACAGGGGCTGGCAAATAGCTTGGTAGATACTTAGATGCTTTGTTAGAATCTGTGATTTAGAATTCTTAGGCTTCACATAGTATTCTCAATGTAGCTGCCTCTTGATTTTACATAAGAGTAAGATGGTGATGAGTAGGGGAGGTCATGTGCTATTTCTTAATTTGTTTCCAATTGTTATTGAGGATGAGTAAATTTTCTTTATTTCAAATCCATCATTGTATAGATGTAATTTCAAAACTTTTAGTGTGTTGCCTTATATTGCCCATGTTAAACTCATCTACCATCTTTCTGCTCTCTCACATAGCCCTCAGAAGAGAACCCTGATGTTTGTCCTTGCAAGGTGGTCATTTACCTACCTGCAAGAGTTGTATTTAAGCTGCAAGCCCTATTCTATACAATTTATAAGGAAATTAGAATGCATCAGAAGAGCTTCAAGTTTTTAGCTTAAGATATTAAATGATTTTTCTCCTGCTATTTTATTCTGAAATTTTTCAAATGCAAAGATAATTGTAAAGGTACTGAATATCTCTATCACTTCATCATCATTCTTAAAGAAATTATCTTATATCAATAGAATTATCTAATATACAGTCCATATTGAAATTTCCTCAATTGTCCCCTAAATATTTTTATTTAAGTTCAATTTGCTAACATATAGTATAACCCCCTAGTGTTCATACCATCAAGTTCCCTCCTTGGTACCCATCACCTAGTTACCCCACCTCCCCTCACCCTGCAGCCCTTTGTTTGTTTCCAGAGTTAGGAGACTCAAAGGGTTTGTCTCCCTCTCTAATTTTTCCCATTCGGTTCCCCTCCTTTCCCTTATAACCCCTTTCACTATTTCTTGTATTCCACACATGAGTGAAACCATATAATAATTGTCCTTTTCTGATTGACTTATTTCACTCAGCATAATATCCTCCAGTTCCAACCACATCAAAGCAAATGGTGAGTATTCATTTTTCTGATGGCTGAGTAATATTCCATTATATATATGCTACATTTTCTATATCCATTTATCTGTCGAAGGACATCATAGCTCCTTCCACAGTTTGGATATTGTGAACATTGCTGCTATGAACGTTGGGGTGCAAGTGTCCCAGCGTTTGACTGCATCTGTGTCTTTGGGGGTAAATACCCAGTAATGCAATTGCTGGGTCATACGGTAGCTCTATTTTTAACTTCTTGAGGAACCTCCACACTATTTTCCAGAGTGGCTGTACCAGTTTGCATTCCCACCAACAGTGCAAGAGAGTTCCTTTTTCTCCACATCCTCTCCAACATTTGTTGTTCCCTGTCTTGTTAATTTTCACCATTCTCACTGCTGTAGGCGGTATCGCATTGTGGTTTTGATTTGTATTTTGCAAGTGATGCGGAGCATTTTTTTCATGTGCTTGTTAACCATGTGTATGCCTTCTTTGGAGAAATATATGCTCATGTCTTCTGCTCATTTAAGATTGGATTGTTTCTTGTTTAATAAGTTCTTTAGAAATCTTAGATACTGTCTTTTATCTGATATTGCATTTGCAGATATCTTCTCCCATTCTGTAGGTTGTCTTTTAGTTTTGTTGACTGTTTCTTTTGCTATGCAGAACCTTGCATATGCAGAATCTTGATGAAGTCCCAATAATTCATTTTTGCTTTTGTTTCCCTTGCCTTCATAGATGTATCTTGCAAGAAGTTGCTGTGGCCAAGTTCAAAAAGGGTGTTGCCTGTGTTCTCATCTAGGATTTTGATGGATTCTTGTCTCACATTTAGATCTCTTATCCATTTTGAGTTTATCTTCGTGTATGGTGTAAGAGAATGGTCTAGTTTCATTCTTCCACATGTGGCTGTCCAATTTTACCAACACCGTTTATTGAAGAGACTGTCCTTTTTCCAGTGGGTATTCTTTCCTTCTTTGCAATTTCATTTTCTAATATATAGTTGAGCATGTTTGCATTTATATTTGTAAAGGAAATTAACTTGTAGTTTTCTTTCCTTTTTATGTGTTTTTTTAAGATTTTGTTTATTTATGGGAGAGAGAGAGACAGAGACAGAGACACAGGCAGAGGGAGAAGCAGGCTCCATGCAGGGAGCCTGACATGAAACTCGAACCTGGGTCTCCAGGATCAGGCCCTGGAGTGAAGGCGGCACTGAACCGCTGAGCCACCCAGGCTGCCCATGTGTTTGGTTTTGTTATCAGAGTAATATTGGCCTTCTGGAATGAGTTGAGAAATAACCTCTCATCTTCTGTATTTTTGAAAGGATTTGGAGATGTTGGTCTTAATTCTATGTAAATGTTTCATAGAATTAATCAGTAAAGCCATTTGGGCTGGGGCTTTTTTTGGTAAGAATTTTAAAAATTTCTAATTCACTATCTTTATTATTTGAACTATTCAGATTTTTGTTCTTCCTTGATTGATTCTGATTATGCCTTCCTAGAAATTATTTATTTCATCTAAGTTATCTGCTATGACTTTTCATCTAAGTTATATTTATTACTATACAGTTTTTCATAGTATTCCTCCATGATCCTTTTTATTTCTGTAAGATTTAGAGTGATACTTCCTCTTATATCTTTTATTCCTTTTTTTAGTTTCAACTTTTTATTTATATTCTAGTTTGTTAACATGAAGTGTAATACTGGTCTCAGGAGTAGAACTTAGTAATTCATCACTTACATATAACACCCAGTGCTCATCATAATTACCCTCCTTAACATACATCACCCATTTTACCCATCACCTGTCCACCTCCCTTCAATCAAACCTCAGTTTGTCCTCTATAGTTAAGGATTACTTATGGTTTGACTCCTTCTATTTCTTTTCCCCTTCCCCTATGTTCATCTGTTTTGTTTCTTAAATTCCTCACAAGAGTGGAATCATATGGTATTTTTCTTTCTCTGATTTGCCTTGTTTAGCATAATACAGTTTAGCTCCATCCCCATTGTCGTGAATGGCAAGAGTTCATTCTTTTGAAGACTGAGTAATATTTATATATGAAGAATGAATATATATATATATATATATATATATGCAACATCTGTTTTATCCTTTTATCAGTTCATGGATATTTGGGCTCTTTCCATAATTTGGGTATTGTTGATAATAAACATTTGGCTGCACATGCATCTTCAAATCACTATGTTTGTATCCTTTGAATAAATACCTAGTAGTGCAACTGCTAGGTCACATGGTAGTTCTATTTTTAACTTTTTGAGGAGCCTCCATACTGTTTTCCACAGTAGCTGCACCAGTTTGCATTCCCACCAACAGTGTTCAAGTTCTCACTGACTTTATGAACTCTTCTCTCAAGGTTGCTGAGCATCCACATGACTATTACTTTGAACTCTTTAGATTTATTATCTCCTTTTTGTTTAGTTATTTTTTGAACAAAATTTTTTTTGTTTGTCTTTCCTTTGGAGCATATATCTTCTGTCTCCTTTTGTTTGACATTCAGCGTTTGTTTCTATGAATTAGACAAAGCCACTATTTCTCTTATAATTGAAAGAATTGCTTTGTGTAGGAACAACTCCTATGTGTACTTTGTGTCTCACAACTTTGGCTGGCTGGTTGGAGTTATGACAGTCATGAGTTGGTTATCTTTGGACAGTCTGTTATGAGGCTGCCCTGGTGGGATCCTAAATCGGAAGACAGCACAGTCCAGGAAAACATGGGGCACTCAGCACAGAGAATACCTTGTCAGGACAGCTGAAAATTCAGGGATGTAGGTCAAGGGGACCCGAGGTGACCTGTGAAAGGAGTACCCTACCAGGGTGGCTAAAAATAAAATGCGTGTGTTGCTGGTATGTTCTGATGACTGTGATACCTTGGTGAAATGGAAAAAGTATAGTGGGCATTGTCCAAGAGTGTCACAGTGAATGCCATGCTGGGCTCACATTGTGCGGCCTCCTTGAGGAAATGGCTATGGCTTATACCAGTTGGGGTCAGAGTTTGTTGAGATGACAGGTCTGGCAGGGTACACATAAACTTCCTGTCTGCATCTCAAGGT